AAAAAAAAAAGAGATTTCGTGTTTTCCTCTAAATGAGAATAAATATATTTACGAGAAAATAATTTTTTATAATCATTATTATGTTATTTTTCTTTTATATTAAATTACTTTATTGATAATAAGCGCAATGAGTGAAGAACAAAGTGAGTTATTTAAATAAACGATAAAATATGTAGTAATTTTGATAAATAGAAAGAAACAACATGTATACAGTTTTATTAAAAGACAAAGTTTTTAATAGCTTGTAAGTTATATTCTAATGGGAAAGTTATTTGTTTTGTTTATTAAACTCGAGTTTAAATGAATAGATCATCTGTAACTTGAGAATTATTCTTATAAGATTTTATCAATTTTAAATATTTATATGTAGTGAGCGACGGAATGGAAACTTATTCAACAGATGCATTTGATAATAAAGGTTTGTAACAAAAGAAGAAACGAAACTTTATCTGAATAAATTAGTTATATTATTGTAATAGAAAATGCTGTCATTCAGTCACTTGATGATAATCCAGATCGAAATTTACCATTAAATGAATATAGATCACCATCAGTAATGTCAAGACAAGAAAAACAACCAGTATCCATGTATACACTTGGAAATGGGTATCAACAAATTCCATCGAAAACTTTACCACAAAAATCTGAACCTAAAGTTTATTATATTGGTTCAAAACAAACTGAAAACACACCATCTCCTATCAAACAAGGTAAAATATTACTTTTTTTTCCTAAATTCCAAAAGATATTTTACATCGAGAAACATTACTTCTTATTTAAACAGGAAAACAATCAGATGTTCCAATCGTTTTCCTGGAACCTCAGATTATTTCTCAACCAATATTATATAGTATTATTGGTGAAAAATCTACTCCAATAATTGATAAACCAATTCCTGTAAGTGAAGAACAACCTTCACCTATAATCTATTCAATAAATGATCGTCCTCGCACTGTCGATCTAAATACCAATAGTGTAGAAGATCCAGTTCTTTATAAAGATAAATCTCCTACACTTTATTCTTGGGTTGGTAATTCATATGTTCAAGATAAAGTTATTCCAGAACCACCTAAAACACTCGTACCACCATCTCCAAGTGTTTACACACTCATTGGAAGTCCAGCACGTACATCACGTGGTACACAATTAGGTCGAAGTAGTCCTATTGAACCAGTACCAATTCTATATACAATTGTTGATGATACATCAACTTCAACTTCAACATATAAAACAAAAGAAAAGCACTCACATCCACCACCACCAGCAAATGAACCTGCCGTATATACAGTAGAGAAGGAATCTAATGTATATAAAACTCCAATACTTTATGCATTAGTTGGTAAACAAATTTCACCTCCATTAGAAGATAATCGATTAAAGTATTCAATATCATCTTATATTTATAAGTTATTGATCTTTTTTTTCGTTGAATAACCTAGACTACCTGCAAGAAAACCAACACCATCACCACCAGTTACAGTTTCTACTAATAAACGTATAAGTCGTAGTCCCGAACGAAGGTCAAATATAATAACGGAGGAAATTATAGCATATCCAGTAACAAAAACTGTATATCTACAACAACCAAAAGGTTATTATTTTTTTTTTATATACAAATCAATAAATAAAAATTTTAGAGTCAACAAATCCAAAATCAGAATTAATAGTTACTCCTTACAATGAAGAAGAACGTCGTATGCGTCCTCAGATAATTCATCAAACACCTACTTATACAAATCAAGATCAATCATATCGTAAACTGAATACTATACCAAAATATCCATCAGTTCAATTACCTGATTATCAATCACCATATGCAAATCGAACACACAAACCATATCGTGAACAAAACTACAATAATAATAATAATACCTTACCTGCTATTTCACATAATCATGCCCAAAAAAAAGAAAGACCACCACTTTATGAACCACGTTATCGTGTTGAACGACATCATCCATATGTTCCATTAAAACCAATCACTTTAGTATGTATACATTTATTTTACTATTATTTTTCATATATATATATTTCAAATTTTTAGGCAAGATACCCAGTTAATACAAGATCACGTGCAAATCTATGGGATAATGCTTATCAAACAGATGATGATGAAGAATATGAGCAAAAACTTAATAAGAAAAATCGTGGTTATAAAACCAATCGACCTCGTTTACCATGGATACCTGTTTGGTAATTAAACATAAAAGAAAACATTCTATTTTATTTCGGTTTTATTTTATTTTATATAAATCGAAAGAAAAAAAAACACAATTATTTTTCACTTTATCAAAAAAAGCGTAAAAACAATGCTAATAATTAGAGTGTATGACTTGTGCAAAACATTTTGAATTCTATAAAAGAAAAATAAATAAATTCAGAATTATTCAAATAAAAAATAAATACATATATACCTTCAAAACTAATTGTTCCACTATTGTCAACATCAAGTCGTTTAAGTAAACCTTTGATTTCTTGTTCGGCAACTTCAGCTTTGACACCAAGCATTTCTTGCATTGGTAAATAATATTTTTTTAATTCTTCAACAGTTATACTACCATCATTATCTTTATCAACACGACGGAATTCTTTTCGAAGTTGTTCTTCAGTAAATGCAGCCATTTGATATTTATTTACTTATTGGTTTAATGAAGGTAAATGTAAAATAATGACAGAAGGTTTTATAGTTGATTGGGTTTGTTATACTTGACTGATTTTATTTCTTTTAACAAGAACGGTAGAAAATATGAAAAAGAATGATGCAAATATGAATAACAAAATAAAAAGCAAGCGTATCATCATCATAATAAGCCATGAAAAAGGTAAAATCCATAAAAATATACGCACATCCAACGTTACATGATCTAGGTAAAAATAATGAATCAAACAAAAAAAACATAAGGCGTAGGCATTTTATGAAAATATTATTCAGAGATAAATCAGCGTCGTAAAACAAAATAATAATATTATTATTCATTTTCTAGACTTATTTGAATTTATATATCATGATTATTCAGTATTTCGGATTGATGAATCAATAATTTTGTATTACATAACAGATGAATATCGGACTATAGATTCTTATGAAAATTGTAATGTTTTAGAATTAACTATAGTAGAATATTAAGAAGACAATAGTTGTATGGTTTTTCGAACAGAGCGGTTTATAATATATACATATTTAATTCTTCACATGTATATGTCAAGTATTGATTAATCGTTTGAGAACTGACAATATTTTTATGAAAAAAAACAAAATTTGTTGTTTATATTAAATTGTTAGACCTGTAAGACAATGCAGGTTATAGGGTATGTATAACCCTACAGACTATAATGGCTATGTGTGAACAAAAGTTTTTTGACGATGAAAAAATTGATAGTACAACATATGTACCATACGTCCTCAAATGATTAATCGATTTTTTTTGTGTAACAGCTTTCTGATTGATGAATACCATTAAATGCACACATTAATTTTTGTGACAATCATATCAAGTGTATTCGAATAATCAATAAATAAGTACACTATATTTAAATTTATTCAATTTAATTAAAACAAAACAAAATATCAATAAAATTTAGTATTATTTCCAAATTTTAATATGTCGTTTAGCTATTTCATAGCTTATATTATTAATAATACCTTCCCATTCAAGTGTATCAGTTGATTCATTACTACCAACAAGATAAATATGTAATGTAACAAGTTTAGTCATATATTTAATAAATTTCGAAGCAACTTGTCTTAAATCATGGATTGTATTTAAATTAATTCGTAAATGTTTTAACTCTGAAAATATTTCAAGAAAACGATCACTTTGAATAATAGGTAAAGCTTCACGACGTAATACAAATTTATCAAGTTTATTATGTAATTGACAGCATACATCATTATTTTGAAAACAGTCTGTTATAGTCTAGAAAAATGGAAATATCATATTAATGGAATATTTAATAGAAGAAAATTTACCATAAGAATAGTATAATCAGTTTTGAAATAGCGTAAACATGGTGTTAATTTCAATAAAGCAAGAAATGTATCTGTAGGTAATGGTATAAATAATTCGAAATGAACTAATTTACAAAGATTAAGCATTGTACAAAGTTGTGTAAATAATGTTGAATAATTAACAGTAACAATAGCATTCTCATATATCTGAAGAGCACATACATTTGGATATGTATGTTGAGCATAATTCTAAATGATTTTAATTTTAATAAATTATTTACAATTTTATAATTACCTCCATTGGCATATTCGTTTTTAAATACAAATCAGTAACAGAATTAAATGTATTATATGGTGCTTCTATTATTGGTAAACAATGAATTGTACTTATGAATGAACACCGACGATATGGAACAGTAAATAAATGATATTTCTTATTATCTTGTGAATAATCAATACTTATAGACCATTGATTCCAGAATGGAGTTTGAAATGACGATACAAGTTCATCATCAAATATATCTGACACAGCTTTAATATCAAATAGAAGAAAACGTAAATATTTTGATAATGTTAAAATTTCAGTCCATTGTTCGGAATTAATAAAATCAATACCAACAGCAATAAGTGTAAATCGATGAAGCTGAGGTAAAAATGAAAGTAGATATGTAATATATTCAAATCGTACTGTATATAAACAATTAAGTTTAAGTGTACGAAGAGTTTGAAATGGTAGATTAAATGGTGGTAAAAAACCTTGAAAATTAACAGCAAGTCGATGAATTGTAAGATGTTCAAGTGACGGATAAAAACAAAAGAGTGTATGAAGATCATTAATATAAAATCCATCGAGAATAAGTCGTGTAAGAGAAGAATTTGGTCGAAGTTTATTGACAAATAAAATATCATCATAGGAAAGAATACATCTAAATGTAGATATAAATTAACAAATCTTTTTTATTTCAAAGATTATTTTTCGTACGTTTCTAAATGAGAATTATCGAAAAGAAAAGCTGGATGAATTTGTTGTTCAAACATTTTATTAGATTTAATATGTATTGATGTTAAATGTTGTATTTTTATTATTTGTTTATAATCATTAATATTCGGTTCAATAAATGACATTGTATGAAGATTAGGAAATGTTATTTCAATTGGAGAAAATTTCATTAAAAACAATTTTATTCCACCACATGTTTCAATATTTGATAAATAAATTGCATGAATAGACGATGAATAAGGAGCTAAAATATTTGAACAATATTTATTAAAATCATTAAAAGATAGATTTGTAGATAAATTAATTGACATTTGTTGTTGAGTGATAAGAATTTCGAAGCGATTATTAAGCATATGAAATGTATGAATAAGTTCAAATGGACGGAGATAATCGAAAATATCCAATAGAATTTCATTGGCGAGATCTTCAAGTTTTGATATGGACATTATTAAGAAATCTGAAGAAAAATAAAACTCTTTTTTTCGTCACCTAATATATATATATGAAGTATGATAAGTCATTCTCTATTGAAACTGATCTGCTCAAATATTAAAAAGTGCGGTTTAAAACTATCCAAATGTTCTTTAAAAAAAAGCGCAATCAATTCTTTCAATAATATTTATAATAGACAAGATAATATAATCAAAAACTACATGTTTTTTTTTCTTTATTAATTAAACAACAACATATCACAAAGTAATAGTCTTTTCTTTTAATTGACAATGTTCTTTTAAATATTGTATAATACGTTCACAATCAATACCATGACGTTGTATATGAAAATAACCTTTTTCTGATAAATCAATAATAGTAGATCCACGTCGATCATTTGATGCTAATAGACCTCTATCAATAACTAAATCAATTTGTGACCATAACTGTTTAAATTCATCAATACAAACTGAACTTGGTTCATTGGATATATTTGCACTTGTTAATGCAATAGGTTCATGTAAACGTTGAGCTAATTCAATCATAAATTGACAATTTGGAATACGAATAGCAATATTATTTATATTCGGATTGAAATATGAAGGTAATAATGATTGACGTTCAAACATAAGTGTTACTGGACCAGGAAGAAGATCACCAGTAGATAATTGTTCTTTTGTTAATGTTGGTTTTGAACAAGTAAATAAATCTTCGACATAACCGACAGATATTGCTAATGGTTTAGTAAATAATCGACCTTTTATTTCATAAATTTTTTGAACAGCTTTTTTACTATTTACTAATGCAGCAAGACCATAAATTGTATCGGTTGGTACAGCTATAACTCCATCGTTTTTCAAAATTGAAATACAACGATCGATTAAATTATTATCATTGATCGAAACAACATTGGTTGACATGATTTTGTTGTAATGATGCGAAACGTGGCAGCTGAAGAATCGAATGAATGTAATTGAGGAAATAATTTGAATCATAAGAACATTCTATGATGTAAGATGAAAATTCCATCTGATAAGAAAATTTTTTATCTCTACCGGAAAATTTTGTTTGTTGCTAACATACACCGTAAAAGAAGGATATTACTTTTCTTTCTTTTTTTTTTTTTATATTTTCACTTGTCCAATACGTTGTACAAGGATAAAGTCAATATAGAGGTCGCTCTGCATATAAGAAAAATTATACTTTTCAATCTTGTAACTGTAAAATAGTGTCTCAAACAAATGTTACACCGTGATATTTATTATTCTAATAGAAATACAGATCTTTTACTAAGATCGATTTTGTTCTCAACCATTGAAATCTTTCAATATACATTCTAAACATACTCCTATAGAATATCGTTTTAGGACTAATTATTAAGAAAGTTGTACAAGATAAATCGATTTAAAATGATTTCAATAACATCTAGTTGTTGAGCTTTCAGTCCTTGCATATATCTATAGATATATTTCATAAAATCTACTTATGTTAAGAGCTCGAAAACACGATTTCTCTCACGAAGAACGCATCAAGCCATTTTTAAGAAGAGATAGATTCATCACATACAAAACGATAAGAGTTTAGCATTTTTTTCCTTTAACACGCTTTCTTTTTGTGTACTCAAAAAGTGAGTACACTACTAGAATCGGTCAGTGTGTC